TAGAACATCAAAACAATCTTCAACAAAATGATACCATTTTATTTATTTTATGAATGAAAACCACAAATGTCACAATAGATGTATGAATGAAAATCACAAATGCACAATAGATGTAGATAAAATATTGTAGTCAACAATTCTTGACTAATTGTATACTTTATTAAAAGATCTTCCACAGCAACAAAAACAAGTAAGAAGAAATATTCACAAGAGACAACAAAAACAGAAACAAAGATTCAATCAAAAAGTAACAAGGTATAAAAAATTGAAAATTGGAGATAAGGTATTAATATATGATCTGCAAGAGATAAACACTTCACAGGAAAGTTGAAGCCAAAATGGAAAAGACCCTTCTATATCCATGATACCTTGCAAAATAGTGTCTTCAAACTTAGGAAAATGGAAAGAAAAGTTCTTGCTACTTCGATTAACCTCTTTTTCTTAAAACCATACTTCAACTGATTAGCATAGGAACCTAGCATATACATAGAAGCATCATTTAGCTATTGAAAAATTTAGCACCCAGGTTATGTGACATGAATGCAGATACTTTGATAATCCAGTCCTCAACTTGCCTAAAACAAGCATCCTTGAATCCTTGATCACATCTGAAAAAAAAAAGCAAGCAGAAAACATGGTCTAATATGGACGATCCAGAGAGTATTCATATCACATACTACCACCGGCCCAGAGAGCAAACTCAACATCTACCATGTTCTCTTCTATGAATTTAGAGAACTGTTTAAAAAGAAAGGAGAAGATAAAACTGAACCTAAAAAGAGAAATGTCTTCTAGAACCAGCTGGAAGCAAGGACAACATCTGTTGAAGCAACTCCTGTCCAGCCACTATTCTCAACCTGAACTCAACTCTTTTCTGTTTCAGCTCCATAGTGTGAGGAAAACTGCCCCTAGCCTGATAAAAATCCTCAAGTTTTCTTTCAAGGTACCGATGAGACTGTTGCAATCTTAAAATTTCTTGACGAAGGGAAGAGATATACTTTTCCAGGAAATCAAACTCAGCTCGAGCCTTTGGATTTTGTTGCAACCAAAAGACAAAATCTCAGTACAAGTGATAAAGTGGAAGGTGGTAAGAATTTCTATGAATGTGAGGTATTTTGATATTATTTTGAATGAAGATTACTTGTTCAACGATTTTTGAAAAAGATCTTAAATAATCAAAGCTGTAAAACCTATCAAGAACTTTAAAATGCTCATGAAAATCTATAAAAGGGATAGCTGCCCCAAACAACATATTCCTTTTTCAAAATTGAATATTTCCAACATACAAATAATAATCTTATGGTCACCTATACTATTTTGGTTGAAGATCTGCTCTAAAATACACCTGAAGATATGGATGTTGCATCAGTCCCTTGTAATATCCTGCAGATTATTGAATTGCAACTTTTGAATACTTATCAGAAATTATAAAGAGCATCACAAAGAAAAAACAGGATTCTAATACTGTGTATACTTATTATCTTGAGGAATTACTAGAATTCATCCCCAGTTATATACAAAGATCTTACCTTATCTTACAAATTACATTATACTACTATCAAGCTTCCATTCATGTATACTCTATTTTTGATAAGACTAGAATTGCTCAAATATATAGGATCTGATCCACTACTCTTCGCCTAATTAGAAATATATCCAGCTCTGATTATCTTAACTTAACATAGAAATAAACTTATAGAATTCGTAAATTAGTGAGGGAGAATTGTTACATGTGATTTTCACTCAAGATTTATATTGCCTTTATATTACTTTTACTAGTATTTACCCTTGCAATATTATCTATTCTAGAATAATTTTTATACTACTGATCTATGTCTTCCTCACCTTTACCTTTATTTCCTTTATTACTTTTATTATCTCTAGAATCTTCTATTACTTTATTATTTTTATTATTATGTATATCTTCATTAAAGTATTTCTCTATACTTGCTATAAGTATATTAACTGCTCTAATGAAAATAACATCTATTTTATTACTATTATTATTTATATCTATTATATATTCAAAAATATATATATAAATGTATCCAATTTCTTCTGGAATTGCAAGATTGAACTTTCATCTTTATTAATAAAATAACTTGACCTTTACAAAATAAATCACTATTGCCTCTTTCGCTTAACTTTATACACCTCAGAACTGTATTAATTTTAGTACACCCTTAGGAACTTTAGCATACCATATTGGTCCATCCATACAAAGTATCTCCCTGCTATTAGTTCTTCATCTATATCTTTTTCTTGAGGTAGAACGATATATGATAATATATTGTTTTTTATAAATATTAAACTAAAAACATATATTTGAAAATTTAAAAGTATTATTTATATATTATTAATTTATAGATTTTATTGCTTTTTTTTATATTATAAATAAGTATAAAATATAAGACTTTATTAATTGAATATTAATTCTATTATTATATTAAACATTTATTAAAGTTAAAGTTAGCTTATCATATATAAAACTTTTAAAATAATATTATATTAAGTAAGTTATATTATATCAAAAGTAATTTATAAATAGCTTATATCTATTTATAAAAAGTTATTAGTAATAAAAAAAATTAAATTTTTATTAATTGAATTTTAAATATATTATTTGAATCTATGAAACTATAATAACAATTTTTTTATTAAAATTTTATTAATTTAATTTTGATATTATTGCTTGAATCTAAATTTATAAGACTTATTTAAATAATTTTATATTAATTATTTTTATAAAAATTTATTATTAAAAAAAATTATTAATTTTAATAATTATTAATATATATAATTTTTGATTTTTTTAAAAAAATTTTTTATATATTTTTATTTTTTATATTTTAATATTTCAAAATTTCAAAATTCAAATTATTTTATAATATTCTTATAGATTTAATTATAAAATATTATGCTTTTTAATTATTTTAATTATTTTTTATAACAGTATATATATTTAAAAATATATTAAATAATTTTTTATAACAGTATATTGTATTTAAAAATATATTAAATAATTTTTTATAACAGTATATATATTTAAAAATATATTAAATAATTTTTTATAACATATATTGTATTTAAAAATATATTAAATAATTTTTTATAACATATATTGTATTTAAAAATATATTAAATATATTTTTTATAATAAATTTGATTTTATAAATATCATATTTGATTTATATAAGTATTATAAATAATTTATTACAATTAATTAAAATAAAAATATTTTTACTTGTAACAAAAAAAAATCTTTAAAAAATTTTTAAAATTATATTTTTTTTATAAACTATTAAACCAATCTGATTTAAAAGATATAAGAAAAACTTTAGAAATGTATTTTTTTTTCAAATACAAAGGTAATAAAAAAAAAACAAAAAAAAAACAAATTATCAGGTTGTTATATAACAAAAATTTTTTTTCAATTTTTTAAAAATATGCAGTTCCTTTACATTTTAATAAATAAATTTTAAAGTTTATTATATTTATATTATATTTTAATTATTTAAAAAAATTTTTTTTATAATTGTATAATTAAAAAATTAATTAATTTCATAGAAAAACAATAATATTATCATTTTAGATTTCAAGTTTTAATTTTGATACATTTTTTAATTCTCATGCAATGATTTTTTGAGTAATAACCAAATAATTAAATAGTTCGAAAGTGCAACACTCTGTATACTGGATATAGATAAATGTTATTTTTTATCGAGTTAAAAATAATAAAGATCTATATAAATTTCAGAACTTTGTATCAAATCATATGCAGTATATAATATTAATTGGGGCGCTATTTGAAATAAGCATAGGCATTTCATGCCGAGTAGTTTGGATCCAGTGTTGAAGGGGAAATTCTTATATTATGTTATTATCACATATGTTTCCTTAATAATGTATACAGTATATGCATTCCATGCAAGCCTATGCGATTCTAATTTGGGATCTTAATTAAATTCAATTAATTATACAGTTTAACTTGTACAAGAAAGGAAAATACAAGAGGAATCTTTAAAATATCAATAATTAAAGTAACCGATTATTTATTTTATGACCGCGGAATCTCCTTTACAGAAATATCCTGGATACACGCGCAATGTCATGATTCATCTCACACCAAATTCTCTTTATAACCTTGCCACCCTGGATTTCATGTATTTTGTGAAAAATTCGTGATACGGAAAACTTAATATGAAATTGTTCTAGCTGACCTGCTTAATAAAATTTTTGTTAATTCCGATCAACAATCTTGTCACGTGAGTGGAATGCATTTTGAGGTACACTTTTCGTTTCACCTTATCACAATCATATACTTTCGGATTCACATTGATCCGCGATGTCCTTCCCTCAGGCATCTTGTAAATTGCATAATTAGCTATGTAAAACACGGAAAACTCCAGGATCAGTTTTTGAATAACGACATTCAGGGAACTTTTAAATGAACAATAGGCCCACTTAAGGAAATATGGAAAATATGTAACATAAATAATTGTCGATTTCATTAAGGCGATTGCAAATTAAGCCTTCGAACCTTATTTTATGAGGTGGTAGATTTTTTTTTTTTTTTTTTATTCAATGATGATAGGGCACAATCGATATCAATGTTAGACGATTTACCGACCTATCTATGTTATACATCCTAATTTGGCCTTATTGTGTGTTTGGATTTTAGAAAGAAATTTCCTAAACTCTAATTACAATAAACTCTATTACGTGTGCAATGGTGTGACCCAATGTTATAACCGTTTTTAAATTAGGATTTTCTCTTTAATTCTTATGTCATTGTGTTTGATCATTTTGGGCGAGACAAAGCCCCAGGAAAACTGCAGAATCTAGAATCATTATGCGAGAGGTCGAGGGGTCAAATTACCTAAGGAGCGTTTTAGCGGCATGAATAAATGGTGGTGATAATAATAAAAACTTTATCTTAGCATAGCATGCGAAAGAATTATGAATGACGTGCAGAAATCCTAAATCTTACTGGTGCTACTTCAATTATGTCCTTGCCCCCACGCTGACCGAATAGGGATAGTCAAATCCCTTAAACCATTGTCACCGGTAGAAACCCCTAAGCGGAAACGAGAACAATATGTACAATTTTGGAATTTCAATGTCTGACCACATTGTTCAAGAATACGTACCGCAGTTTAGAAGGTCATCCCATTGTTGTCGGACACGAGTTCTCAAATTCCAAAACAATGAAGACGTTTTAAGAATAGAGCACTAAAATTTCGTAATCATCGGATTTTCACTATAGAAAATTTCCCCTGCATAATTTATTATCATGCGGTGCCATCTGAACATACGTAATTAAAAAAAAAAAAATGAATGAATCCCTTGTTGGTAATATTGGGAAATTTTCATTCCGAAAAAATAAGAATAAGCACATTCCTTATTTATTGTAATGCATTTTTCTCCGATTTTGTTTGTACATTTTAATGTGAAATGATTTGCATGGCGGGAATCTTGCACGTTATTTCGTCCATGGATGGTGGGTGAATGCCAGTTAACTTTCCCTCCCCCTTAAAGAAATGCAGTCGGTCACCAACAACCTCACCGTCTATCTGGTGAACGGTGGTACCTCTATCATGATAGAATTGACGACGAGCTTGTCAGTTACTCGCTAATATCCTCACCGCCTGTATAACCGAAATAAGCTTCGGCCGGAATAAAATGGGTGTAAGGTGGGAAAAGGGGAAAACAATAGTACAAATAAGCGACTCTAGAAAAATATATTCCGAAATGTTTTTCGTAAATTTTTTTTCTTTTTTTTTGCGCGGGAGAGTTCCCGAGGATCACAAAAATCGCTTATCTCATACAAAGGAGAATGAACTTCCAAGTTCGTTTAGGAATTTGTTTACCACCTTATTAATGTTAATTGTCAAAGTTACATTCGATGGTCAGCATACGTTCATAGAGAAGGAAATCCAGACAATAGTGTAACAATCGTTGTTCACATTGTCGTACTAATTTATAAAAAAGAAGTTTCCCAAACAATAGTAACTTTCTTGGCAATGAAACCAATTAGATTCAAATCTTATTATTGTCGAGTTTGGGAGTACGTATTTATTTTTGACTCCTGAAACAGGTCGACTCTATCGTGCGTCGTTACGAGAGTACCATAGTCAGACAGAAATGTGACAAAAGAGAACAATCATTTTGTTAAATAATAATACTGAGATAAGCATATTCGGAGAAGTTCGTGATCTCCGATGGCCTAATAATTAGATATGCACACGTTATGTGAAAGCTGCAAACAATGGAGTGACAAAAATTTGAGAAAAAAAAAAAAAAAAAGAATGGCATCTCAACTCCCGCTCAAAAACAATGGATTTTAACAAATTCCTTTTTAAGGCTATGTCGTCATCACCGCGTAATTATTGCTTTGGCAAACTGCGCGGAGGTTCAAGGAGATTTTTTCTATAATTGGCATTGTTTAGCTGAACGCGCGCAATAGGGATCAGTGCGCCATCGCTCTCTTTATAACACATCATGAAGAAAGATCTCTGACAGATTTGTTTACGTAAACAGTTTTGAATTAGATTTTTATTTTGCCAATTTTTTTCTTTCTTTTGCTATTTTTTCTTTTTTTTTGTTACATACATAAATTATTTTACACGAAAAAATAACGAATGTCGATTTGTTTAACAGATACGTTCGTTCGTTGATTAATCGATTATTATCTTGAACTGCGTATTGCTTCGTAATTAAGCTTAGGGGGGTTTTTTTTTTGTCTTAATAAATAAATAAGTGAATAATAAAAAATAATAACAATAAATTGAAAAATGTATATGGAGATAAAGGGTGGGGTTGTTCTGTACATGTTCATGAGAGTTCGTTTCAACTTTATACCTGGTTGTACAGATTGGTGATGTATCCCTGGGCACCCAGGTCAATCTCGTAATCAGACCAGCCGCCTGTGCCAGAAATTGATGATATTAAACTATTGTAATAGAATGCAGGGTCCTGAGCGGAGGCCGCGGGGATGGAGGATGAAAAGTCTTCCGACGGAGAACTCGACGGTGAAGCTTGAGGGACGGGATCTTCTGTAATCACACGGCGACCTTGCCGTCTTCTGTTGCGAGCGCGACGGCGTGGCGGTGCAGGTCCATACACTTCTTCATGCCTTCTCTTTGCAACGCTCGCCAACTTACGGCATTCATCTTTGACCTCAGGTGCGGCTATCCGCCAGGCTTTTGCTGCGCTACTGGTGACTTCCCTCATTCTAAGGTCCCACAAACCTCTGGACTGTAGGACCCGAGTATAAGCGCTCTTAAATATTAAGAAGGTGTTTGGTGGCCGCGAAGGAAGTCGCCCTCGTCTTGGCTTCGCCAAGAGATCATTATCTTCCAGGGGTAATGGGAGTTGGACTATTACATCCGGTGGAATTATGTGGCCGGCGTGGTCGGTTGTATATGGGACGAAGTTCATGTCAAGGGAATGTTTTTTTATCTCCTGAATACAGTTGTTTCTATGAGAACAAAATTTAATGATGACAAAAATAACTTCATCCTTTTATAAAGATGAACTAATATTGAAATACAAAATCACTTGAAACATTCACCGCATGCGTGGTGCATTTATAAGTTCCACAGAGGGCGTAGTAAAAAATCATTAACAATGGAAAGGTATCATCACATGTGACGATTGAAGATAATTAAGTGACAGGTTTGAAAAAATTCCTGGTGGTGCATTGCACACGTATTGCATTTATGATGTATCGGTTGAGTGACTTTGCAGTGAAATAAATTACCAACAGTAATCTTAACACTACTTTTCAGGGGTCGATTTCTCCATTCGTTCACACACACAAATAAATAAGATAACATAAATGCAAAGAAAAACTGATAATTACGGTCAAAAGGAAAAACAGGTCTTGAACTTGATTTTCGCTTTGTATTATATATCTGGGTTAGTGAGTGCGTAGACATTCACGTGCATCGAACCAAAGAAACGATCAAGAAAACGCCATTACACTGTACAATGATATATAATTTTACGGCAAATTAATTTTATTTGGCACATACACGACCAATATATTGCATTTTACTCATGAACCGATGATGATCCAAGAAACCTTGAAACATAATACTGTATATTGTATACTGTACATCGACATTCATATACACAAACCTAATTTCCTGAAGAAAAGTTCCAGAGATTTGCTATTGGTGTTTTTTTATTGCCAATTACTGACCTATTCTGTACAATGCTTCACCGTGGTTCACCCAAAACAATAAAAGACGCGAATATTTCATATGACTGTCTGATTGACCAAATATTGAGTAATACAAGTAAGGTTTACGCCTCTGTCGGAAAGGGGAAGTCGTAGGTTGATGGACAGGTTTACCAACCGGATGGCCAACCGACATTTTTATTGGAATATGGTTGTTTATTTTGCTACAATTTTATCCTCACTAAAAAGTAATAATCATAATATTATAGCCAATTAATTTACCCTTTGATAGAGGCATCACACTGATGACATTTATCCGAGAACCAATCAATGACCTTGCCTCAGTATGGTGTGCCGATGATGGAAATTATATCCGACGTGCGCAAATACCTCACGTTGTGTTAATAAGCATATTGAGGATGTATGCAAAGGCATCGAGTTAGACTTCGTCACCTCATCAGTTATCATAGTCATTTGACGATAACGATGTTTCTCGTTCAAAGAAGATCATCTAATAGAAAAACAATAGAAAATTAACCCTTCTTGAAAAGATAGAGAAAGGATATTGATTTTTTAAATCTTGCTGGCGATTTGCACGCTCTCATCCGAATATTAACGCACATATGCATCCTTATTGCATTTTTTTTTTTTATAAGCAGAATTAATAATAATATTATTATTTATCACTATTACTGATTATTTATTGTATTTGTTACCATTATTATCTTTTGTTTACTATACTGTGTTATTATTATTATTATTATTATTATTATTATTATTATTATTATTATTACTGTATAATCTACATAATAACTATTATTAATTAATTAGTAAGATTCGTAATAATGAGAGACACCTCAAATAAGTCTTAATTTGGAAGTGCTAAAAAACCATTATGTTCTCATCTTCTTACCCGTTCCATATTTGGAATATCTTGATGCAAGTGTGGCAACACCCACCATTCAAATTTGGTTACAAACAGATTACAAACAAAATATTTATCCTTAATTTATACTTATATTAAAACACATTT